AATCTGAAGGGGCGATATCAGGTGAATATGGAGGGTGGGGCAGCACCTCCCATCCCAATTCATTAATTTTTTCTAGCGTCCGTCGTGCACAGTGCGGCCTTGCATTGTCATGTTGAAGAATGACACCTTTTCTGTTGATGATAGCCGGGTAATTCTCAACTAGAGCTTGGTTCACTCGATCCAATTGTTGACAATAAAGGTCCACATTAACAGTTTGTCCAGGAATAAGCACTTCAAAGTGGACGATTCCGCGGATGCTCCACCAAACACACAGGAGCGCCTTCTTGGGGTGTAATCCCGGCTTTGCAGTACTGCGTGCTGGTTCATTTGGGGAGAGCCACTGCCTTTTGCGTTTTGGATTATCGTATAGGACCCATTTTTCATCTCCAGTGACCAAACGATCAAGAAACGGTTCTGCATGGTGCCGTTGAATCAATGCATTGCACGTGGTTGATCTGTTGGCTTTGTTTTGCACTGACAAGTTATGGGGGACCCAAACACCTGCTCTGCTGATTTTTCCTATCTGGTGTAAATGTTCTTGGATGGTCGACCAAGGTTGGTTAAGGGTGTTCGACAATTCTTCGATGGTTTGGCATGGATTTGCTTCAACTTCTGCCCTTAGAACGTCGTTGTCTAATGACATTGGTCTTCCTGGTCGATGGGCGTCAGAAAGATCAAAATTCCCAGATCTAAACTTGGAAAACCATCTTTGGCATTTGCGAACATCTAATGAACCTGGGTAAACATCACTAATGTTCTTAGTCGCAACTGTAGCGTTATTACCCTTGCGAAATTCAAAAAGCATACAATGACGAATATGTACTTCCTGTATTTCGTATGCCATTTCACTCCAATTTGCAAAGAAAACTATTTAATTTTAAATAATTTAGAAGTAAACAAGTCACACTAATATAAAAATAACCTGTGCACGTGTTCGAGATACACAATAAACTGGCCAACGATTATCGAATGTCAACATGCGCAAAAAACGACATTACTTTCCGGTCAACCTAATATATATACATATATACATATATACATATATTCATATTTATATATATCAGGGTGTTACCCAGCCTGATAGCACCGCGTATAACGCGGTATTCCCAATTGGTTTAAAATTCCCAAAGGTTTATAAGATCATAGGAATAAATTATTATTTTTTTAATTGCACTTTTCTTGAAATACATAATTAAGACGTTTTGAAAAACGGCTGCAGTATATCAAAAACAAAGAAAAGAAGCGATTTAAATGAAAACTTTAGAAGATTGCTCATAATGAAACAAGTTGATTAATTAAAATTAAACATATATAAAGTAGAAAAATAATCCTGCTGTAAATGTAACTCCCAGCAAAAATAGAAAGTTTATTTTGATTAAAATTTAATTGCAGAATGTAAGGACCTCTTTTTTTTTTTTTTTTTTTTTAGCCGCACCTAAATTCCCAATTTCGCCAAAACGCTGTATGAAATTTTTTCCTGGGTAACACCCTGTATATATATATATATATATATATATATATATATATATATATATATATATATATATATATATATATATATATTCATATTTATATATATATATATGTTCATATTTATATATATATATATATATATATATATATATTATATATATATATATATATATATATTCATATATTATAATATAATTATATTTAAATATATATAATTATATTATTAACAATATTTTCATTCAAAAAATGTTTAAATTTAATCTCTCAGTTTAGTAAAATAGCAATTTAGTAGCAATGTAGTGCTGTGAATGTTACAATGATAGAGATATTAGTTGTTGCTGGATAGATTACTAGTTTGAATTCTTCTTAGAGAACTTCTTTTTTTTTTTTTTTTGAAGTAGTTTTATGTTTTTTAACTATTATTATTGTTTATCGTTTATTTTTCAAAGTTATCATTTATTTTTCAAAGTTATGTGCATCAAATAAGGTACATAAATTGACTGGTATAGTCATAGTCACTGCAGAGTGTACTCTATCAACTAACTTAAATAGGGATAGGTGTAGTGGAGTGCAGTCAGCGAAATTCGAAGGATTTCAGATTTCATTCGAAGGATTTCGCGTCTTAACCAATGTCAGGTCAGCAAAAAAAAAAAATCGGATTTTTTGCGTTCTGTTATGATAGGGGTAATGATTAAATGATTATAAAAGGATTGCTTAATAATAGCATAGCTTCAGACAATAATATTTTAAAGAATGTAGCAATTAAGTTTTGTTTAGTAAATTAAGTAAATAGCAAATTTATGAATTAGTGATTTTTTAGTTTTCAAGTTGTCTTTTTTTACAAAAAAATGGTCATAGTTTATTTATTACATTTTAATTGGTTTTGTAGATTGCTCATAGAAAGAACGTCGTTTAGAAATACAAATTTAGTTTATGTGCTGTAGGTGAAGATTTTGTTTAAAACAGCAAATTGTTTAACAAAATGAGTAGACAGTTTACATCCGATTGTTTAACCTCTACAAGAAATAAGCATTTAATTCTCCAATAGTAGGGGTGGTGTTTTTCGATATTTAATTGTAGTATAGTATGAACTATACAAAAATTCAAATGTTTCGGTTGCTAATTTAGCACAGCCTTTTTTTTTAATATGACAATTTTTTAAAAGCTCTGAATACTCTTGGCAAGTTTTATACCATATTAAAATTACTTCACCTGAATCATCAGTTTGAAATCCGCAGTATTAAAAGCCCCATTTTTCAATGACAGTTCTGTTAGGCATTATGACTTGTTTTGAGTTTGCTTACTGTATTACTGTTGCGCCAGTTGCAATTTAATGGAAGCCTTAACTTCTATCAAATTAAAAAAAAAAGTTTTGTAACTAATGTTTCTTCTCCGCATGTGTTTAACATAACTATACCAAGGATAAAGTTTCCCACTATACTTTCTGATCTTAAAATAATATTAAAAAAAACCGTAAATATGTAAATAAATTATTTTATTAGTTAAATAGTTGAACTAATAAAATAAATTACAATTAGATTTTATAACTTAATAAAATAATAATTGAGCTTAAAAAAGCGTGAGAACATCAGGCATTTAAAAAGTAATATTTTTTAACCTTTGCTATGCTTGAATAAATTTGAGAAAAAAAGAAAAAATGAATTAAAAAAAATAATGAATGAATTATTGTTTTAATAAAACATGTCAAACTTGAAAAGCAAGTAATTACAATATTAAAATTTAAAAAATAATATTTAACGAATATTATATATTTTTTACATATATTTCAATTTGCATGCCAACACTTTAGGATACTCAGGTCGGCAGTTGTATGCCGTCCTAAGACAAAGATAGGTCGGCTTTTGCGTCAACATTGCCGAATGCCGACCTGAATTTCGCTGACTGAGAGTGTATATACACTTAGGGTTTAGGTTTTGGCAGGCAGTTATTAAAGTTAATAACTTTAATGATTCTTTTAAAAACTTCATTGAAAACAAACTTTTTGTTTATAGTTCTTCAGCCAAGAACCAAGAAGCTGTTTATTATCAATAAATATTCAACAATCAATAGTAGTGTCCAATAAATCTAGTCTCAAGAATAATGCAAATTTTGAAAATATTTGAAAAATTAGTCGGATATTCTGGCAGAAAGCCTTTACAAATTAAATTTTAAAATATTTTCTCGGAAACACAAATGGATATACCGTCTTTTGGTTTTCAGCTGATGACTTGTAAATAATTCTTAAAACTTGTTCTTAATAATTAAAATTTATCATAAAAAATACACAGAAATATTTTAACATAAAAAAGTAATTTGTCAAAAAAATACATAAAAAATTAAAAATTAAAAACTTTTTAAATTAAAACAATAATATAAAAAATACTTCGACTATTTAAATAAAATATTTTCATTCTCGGTGTAGTTAAGGCAACTTACAAAATATTTGAATACTTTTATTTGGAATTAGCATGGTTTTGTCAGCATATTATGCCCAAACAAGATTTTTAAATGTTATAATTTTTTTTGCTTAAGGTTTTTATAATATTTAAAAAAACTTTTCTTTTTTATATATAATTTTTAAAATATTTTTACAACCCGTAATAATGTATCTAATGAACACTATTTTGGAGTCTTTAGATCAATTCCGCTCATCGGCATTAACATAATTTAGTTAAAATCTTTTTAAAAAGTTAGTTAATTTACTACTGATCCTAGTTCTAATTGGTTCTGACGTATATTAACTATATAGTTGTCAAAACACAATATTTCTATCAATTTTCACAAAAAATACTGAAATTCCGACCAAGAAAGAGCTTATAATTATAAATAATTGCCAATAAACGATCAGAACAGATCATATTTTTAAACTTTAATGTTCATTTCACCTAAAAAACGTATTAATATAAAATCTTATTTAAGTTTGGACGAGCGATTGTGATTTTAAGATGATTTTTTAAAAAAAAGATTCCACGGTCTGGGTTTTTTCGCTACAAACATTTATATTTTATGGTACCGCAAAATTTATTATTTTAATTTTTTTCGTCTTTTCATAATTCACAGACCAGACCATTTCACGGAAATATGTCATAATCAATAAAATATCATACAGACGCTATAATATTTTAAAAGTGCCTTAACTACACCGAGTTGTAAACAATAATTAAAAGTTATTTTTAATTTTGTTTAAAGTGTTTTGCTCAATATTGATAGAAAACATATTTTATTAAAAACAATTGAAGTTTAAGTTTATGTAAACCCGCGCTTTTTTGAAATATTTTAAAACATGTAAAAAGCCATGGACAAGTAATCAAAAAAATATATTATATGCGTGGTCAGGAATAGTGTGTGATCATAAGCCGCTCCTGACCAAGACTGTAAAATATATCATATCAAGATTTGGAATAATAAGTTATTTATAATGAAAGCTTAGGGAACAGCATATATAATATTTATTTTTATTTGTCATTATTTCATTGAAGTTATAAAATATTAAAAAAAAATGAAAATGAATTAATAAAAATATCTACCTTAATATTCTCAATGATATTGAGTGTATTCATTTCATATAAAACATTAAACTCTTGTGCTAATTCTGAGTTACTGTCTGAAAACTGAACATCTGTGTATTTTACGTGCAAAACAGGAGGAAATATGAGACCATCTCCTCTTAACATAAAGCGTAATTGCAGTGAACTTGCATAACGGAAATAATCTGGGTTTTTATCTGGATTTGTTAAACCACTTAAATTATCAAGCAGGAAAAATCTTCTTGTCATTTTCCAATTGTTTGAACTGCCCTGATTTATGAACTGATTTCCAGAAAGTACATTAGCCACAAGAACAGGCACAGGATACAAAAATAAATTGTCAATTAACATATACAAGTCATAAAAAACCATCTCTTCTTTTTTTTTATCTGAAGATATGCTTAATTTACACTGAGATTTGTATGTTGTTGGAAATGTAAATGCAATGGTATTAAAAGAAGTGGATTTTGAATTTTGACATAAATTTAAAAACCCTATATCTGTAGTGATTCCAAGAAACTTTCCACTAGCAGAAATCTTTACAGCAACAAATTGCATTAACTGACCTAAACTTAACATAAAACAAGTCATCATAATTAGCTTTATTAATATATTTATATTACAATTTAAAATTTGTATTACAAAAATTGCAAAAATTTGCAATTTTTCTATATAAATTAATATATGATGAAATACAAAATACCATTAGAATAAACAAAAATTTAAATTACAGTAATATAAATTGCTTATCTTAGATATTTTAGGGAGATTTTTAAACCAACTATCCAGCAAAAACAGATTTCAAAGTTTCAAAATTATTGTTTTTTGTGCAAAACTAATTTTTAAATTTTGCTTATTGTTTTAAAGGAATATTCAAATTGTCTCATTTTCATTTTATTTATTTTTTTAATTTTTTTTTTGTTATTCAACTACGAGAAGGCCGAGAAGGCCACTACAGACGAGGAGGCTACTTAAAAGTGGTTATAACCTTCTCTCAACTCTATAACTCCGAAACACGAACCTTAACGAACAAAGCCGCTGCACGGAGAAACAAATTTAGATATAAAACTTATAAATGTAAAATAAAATAATTAATAAATACCATATTAATATTTCACATTATACTTAGTGTGTTTTTAATACATAGTATTTTGTTTTTTTAAATAAGAAACAAAAATTGTTACATAATAAATTGACTTACTACATAAACTTTGTGGAGGAAAAAAAAAATTAAACACTTCAAAATAAAATAAAATTTTTATTAAAGAAAGACTATAAAAATATAAACGGTTTTGTGCTGCAAATGGTGCAGTCAATACAGATGGCAAAGGACTTTTACATGTCAGAGGGAACAATGAGAAACCTCATAAAATGTGATGTTGGGCTAGATCTTTAACCAGAACAGCTTAGCCATTACTGACTGAAATTCATGTAACGGCTGAATGAATAATCAACAGGAGCTGATTTAACCATTTTCATATTAAAATCAGCTTTAATAGTCCATCTTACTAATGAAATTTTTTTTATCTATACCTAGCCATGTCATAACTACTTAAAGATGTTTATATATTTAATATTAGTTTTTTGTGGTTAATTTTTTATTTTTTACAAAATCAGATAAGATTTCAAGTCATATTATCTGAATTTAAAGTCTAAATTCTGCTCTAGATACAATAGTGATCAAAAATTCAGTCTCAGAATAAAACTTACAGTTTCTTAGTGATTTGTGATTTAAAAAAATGCCTTTGTTTTTATTTTGAATTTGGTTCTATATTTATGAAATTCTCTTCAATATATATAAAAGACAAGAAATAAAAAAACAAGTTTAAAATAAAATATATTATTTTTAAAAATAAAAAGTATTTTATTTTAAAAATAACAAAATTATGTAAAAAGATATCTATGAAAATCTTGATCATAAGTTTAGACTCAGGATTTTTCACTTTAAATTGTAAGTCATGTTAATATAGTATGTCAATACAGTATGTGACCACCTTTGTTATCTATGCAAAGTCTACATCTTCTTTTAATAGATTCAAAAAGATTTTGACAATATTCAAAGGATAAACCATCATATAACTCTTTTAAACTTTTTCTTAGTTCTTCAGCTAAAGTTACAGAAGCTTTGGTCAGTTTTCGGTTTAGCACAGTCCATACATTTTCGATTGGATCTAAATCTGGCGATCTAGCTAGCCACTGGAGTACATGTTTTCTTTAAACCAAGTTTAAAGAAAACAAAATCAATGTATTTTTTTGTTTTTACTTTGTGACAAGGGACATTATCTTGCTGAAACTTCCATTCCGGCTCATCTCCAAAAAATAGGTCTCTTGTTGGATTCAAATGATTTTCAAGCATCTCAATGTATCTGAATTGGTCCATTCCCACCAGTGTACAAGTAGCAAAGTCCGGGTCCATCATATGTGATACAACCCCAGATCCCAACTGAACTTCCTCTACCCTGTAACCAAGGTACAATGAAACAATTATAAAACTTCTTATTATGGTGCCTTCGAACTATTATTCTATTTTTTCTACTAATGACTGTATAATTCGATTCATCGCTAAATACTATTTTTTTCATATCATTATCACTCACCTTGAGAATTTTTTTGCAAAATTGTAGCCATTTGAGCTGATCTGATTGTTTAAGCAATAGTTTTCTAGCAGAAGTATACGAGCATAGTTTACGATCAATTAATCTTCTATTTACTGTCTGTCTTTTTTAAGATATCATTTTTAAGAGCTAGATTTATTTCTTGAGCAATTTGTTTGGCACTATACTTAGGATCTGGCAATTCTGTATATACTATTATCATCAGTCGTAGTGGTTTTTCTGGGTCTTCCAGATCTAATTTTTATCTAATGTGCTACCTGTTTTTTTTCACTTAGCTATTGTTTTTGTGACATAAGACTGTGATACCTTCTTGAGAATCAACTGAGTTTTTCTTGTAGAATTACCAGAAAGGTGCAAGGCAATAATTCTTTTTTGATTGCTTTTGAAACTTATGCTTTACACATTTTCTAAATATTTTAAATGCAATAAATAAGTAAAAACGGTATATTTTGATTAGCATGCACTAAGTAAGTAAATAATTTAATTCTAAAATGGATTTAAATGTAGTATTTTAGAGAATATATTTTATCCCACATTAGAATTATAATCTTTAAAAAAATAGGTTGGGCACTTATATGGAAATAAAGATAGGAAAAAGTGAGTCTAAATTTATGAGACAAATTTTAATGTGTTTTTATGACACATTTTAATGTGTTGTAAATGATGCTATTATTAAAAAGTAAAAAAAAAGACCTAATAAAGGAGATAAAAGGTGTGTTTTGTAATTATTCGGCAACAAACTATATTTATATATTAGGGTCAGCATTCGGTAATGCCGACTTAAAAGTGTTTGAGGTCCGCAAATATTGCCGACCTCATTTCTATGTTTTATGATAAGATCTTTGTATCAATTTTTTTTTGCCAACCTCTAAAATATTATGGTCAGCAAAAAAAAATATATATATATATATATATATATATATATATATATATATATATATATATATATATATATATATATATATATATATATATATACACTCATGCTTGGTTGTCTTTATTTTTATCATTAAATGTAAATAACAAATTAAATAAATGAATTAAAAATTTTTTTTTTTTTTAATTAATTTAGAAGACCCGAAAAAGTTTGACAACTTAAAAAATTTATTTTTTAAATTGATAGATTGCTTTTTTACGTATTTTTCATTCAAACTTCATGTTTTTATAACGCTAATTACTTCTTATTATCTTACTTCTTACTATCTTACTTCTTACTATCTTACTTCTTACAATCTTACTATCTTACTTCTTATTATGCTACTATCTTACTTCTTAAACTTTCTTATTACTTAACTACTATCTTACTGCTTAAAGTCTTAAGACTTGTTTAAGTATTAAAAAATGATAAAAAGTGGCTTAGTTGAAATGGCTTACAATTTAAACAAGGCTTGATATATATATATATATATATATATATATATATATATATATATATATATATATATATATATATATATATATATATATATATATATATAAACCACTACAGTAGATGAGCTTTCTAATTTTATTTTATCTTTAAAATGTTTCTAGAAATTGAAAATAGTGTGCTAAAAACTGCTCTATCAATGCTACAATTTGGAAACACAAACCTTAGCAAACAAGACTGTTGTTTGGAGAATCAAACTAAGCACAGTAAAAAATTTAGTATAGTAAGTGGGCGGGGCAGATATTTGACCAGGGTCAGGTTTAATAAACTATAGTCAGGGCCGGGGTTATGGCCAATTTATTGGAGGATTTAGCTCAATACTTGTCGCTTACAAAGCAACTGCTCTACTACTACATAAATTTTGTGATATTTATAATACTATTAATAAAACTACATTTTTAATAAAAGTACATTTATACTATAAATAATAATAATAACAATGATGAAAAAATGAAAAACAAAATTACCTCGTGAAAAAATAGTTTTTATATCTGTTGCACTTAAAATTTCATTAGATGTGACAGTAGTGTAATATAGCCATGGCATAGTGGCTGGCCAATCAAGATTGCCATTAAACTCACCTTTGTACTCCCTTTGAAGTTTTAAGAATTCTTTGCATGGGTCTGTAGAAACAGTTAGCAAATTATCAAAATTATCTGTATTATACATATGAAGCACACACAGATTTCCTAGTAGCTGACAGGCTGTAAAATTTTGGTAACTATTACATAATGCTTGTGCAACACGAATATTTCTTTGCAAAAAAACATAATTAAGTGGATAAATTGATGGTATACTGTTGATAAATGGAGTGGTCTGAGAAGACAAACATTTTCCTCCTTCATTGATCACACTACCTGGAAATAAATGAACAAGGTTTTACCTAATAGTATGTAAGTATAATAAAACTTATAAATCTAATTGTAAATCATAAAACTAATTATATTATTTTTAAAAATTGCTTATATATTTATAATTCGAATCTCACAATTAGCTTTGACTTTTTTTTAATGTAATAAGTAATAATAATAATGTTCCATTTAATAAAAAAATTGTACCTGATTATTTTTATAAAAATTTGCACCTAACTATTTTTAGAAAACTTGTATCTAACTATATGTACCATTTTTAAATTGAGGAAATCAAAATTGATAAATGATATATAGATGATAAAACAATTGTAGATTTTGTATTGTAGTATTTGTATTGAACTGTAGATTAATGACTTGTACAAAAAGCAGTCACACTGATGTTGTATTGTCTTCATACAATCTCACTGATGTTGATGTTTATGTAATAATACTTCAGTAATCACACTGATGTTGTATTGTCTTTGTGTAATAGTTGTTGGAATTTTAATCATTAACATTAAGTTTGTTAATGGAACCCAACACACATATTTTCAACAACATAATTTCTTGAAGGCCAATATTATAACCTTAAGGGGTAACATAGATACATCAATCTTACTTGAAAATCATTATTTTATAAACTGAATTTCTCAACTAGTCCAATATCATGCTTGGACAGAATGGAGTGAGATCGCACACTGCCCACACTTATAATTTTTTTTTCTTTACAATTTGACTACAACTGTTTTGATGATTTAACAATTTAAATGCAATAAAAAAAAATTGTTAACTTTTAATCATTTCTAATTTTTTATATAAATTAAAGGTTTTAAAAATTAATTATTATGATTGTTTAAAATAAATGCATCTTATGTAAGTTTTTTCTAAAAATCTTTTAAAATATTATTTTTTTAAGTTACTTAAACTATGAATAAGTTAAATTAAATCTTCCAATTGCAATGGAATAATTTAATTGCTTTATTTTTTACTTTTTTTTTACCTTGACATACTTATCAGAGCATTTTTGTTAATTTTTTTACTAGTCTAACTTTCTTCGCATTTTTTTTTTAAGCATTTTTAAAATCATATCTAAAACATCTAAATGGTCTTGGTCAAGTTGTTAAAAAAAAAATCATTAGTGTGGTCAGCAATAGCGCTTGATCACACACCTGTCCAAGCCTGCAATACATTAATTGTTATCATATAGCAAATATAAACATTCTAAATAAGGAATATTATCATATATTAAATATTGAAACACTCTTAAACTTAAAAACAGGAATTCTTTTATGTCATTAGTTTTAAAATTAAAAAAAAGTGAAAATTCCAATTGTTCAGAAACAACTTCAGTTCTAATTTTTGTGTTACATATGGGAGTAAAAAGTATTAAAAACTTATTATAAAAGCTAAGTGTGTCATTTCATTTTGAATCATTGTCTTTTGAAGCATGTACTTTTGAGTCCTTAATACAGATTAGGGAAGGGGGGAGCATTTGTTATTTTTGGAAAACTTTCCCACTCACAGCTAGCTTATTAAGACTCCTCTTCCCGCTCTTTATTCTGACCAAAGTAATATGCTAACATAAGTAAACTTATGTTAGCATATTAAATCCTCATAAAATTATGATAAAACAGCTGTTAAAAAATGCATTTGACTGCAAACCATAGTAGAATTAAATAGTTTTATAAATGTGTTTTGTAAATAACATTAGTTTAGATCTATAAATTGAAATTTTTTACAAAAAATACTTACATTGTAACATGGTGTCAGATCGGGAGTTTTCACGAACTGAGCCAGATAAGATAAAAAAATCCCTTCTCGTTTTTTTATTATCCCCTCCATTGTTTTAAGGACTCAAAAGGACATATGTAAGACTAGCAATTAGAGATTTTTTAGGGTCACACCAATATCATCACAGGATGATTAACCATGACTTGTTTCAAAGAAAAACCATTTACATTTTATAGCAATGCCTTGTGATAGTAGCATATATATATTTAAAGTACTTACAATTTCTATTTCCTGAGAAATATAGCTTTAACATATTCAATAATTAACTATACCATAAAATATTTCATCTTTTGACAAATTGAATACTATAACTCAAAACCTTAGATATTTATGAACAGCTTTGGGTATAGGGTCGGCATTCAGCAATCCCGACCTAACTGCCAACCTCAAAATGTTTGAGATTGGCAAAAATTAAAAATTTGTATAGTTTTTGGTAACAATTTTGCCAAGTTTCACGCTGGTATAATTTAAACTATTTTGACTTCTTATTCCCTCCACTATAATGCAATGTTATGTTATGATTTTGTCTATATCGGCAAAAAGTTGGAAAAATTAAAACTGATTTTTATAAATAAATTGATTTTTAAGACATAATTGCTTTATTTGATTTTTCCCACTTTTTAATTCTAGAATATAGTATTTTTCTCAGTATAGGTGTCATTCTTAGTAAAAAACTGTAGACTTGTTTTTTAGTAACTGTGGTTAGAAGCTCTTCTTGCCATAGTGATAAAAATCAGAAGCTCGTCATTTCTTAATCAATTAGATTAAATTAATATAATGCCTCATTTACTGATTAGGTAAAACTATATAAATTTTCAAAGTATACGATAGCTCTTTAATACAAGGTGATACCTTCTTTCTTGAACTTATGCAGCAGGATTCGCAGGCAAAATATTTAAATGTAAAACAAATGTTAATACTATTAATGTTTTAAAAAATAAAATTAAACTTCAAAATTTTCAATTTAAAAGAAATAAAAACTTTACACACAGTTCTTCTTCACAAGAAACCTGTTGTGCAACAATGAGAAAGAAAATGGAACTCTAGCTTTAAAACCATTACCAAACTTCGATAATTGATAATATTTGATGATTTGGATCATCCACAAGATATCTTTTTTACAATTTCTGAATCATCAAAAGTTTGCTTCATTAATTAATTTTGATTTTTATAGAATTAAAACCACTGATTTAAGACACCCGCCCCTCTTGTACATACCTGTAAGCTTCAAACGACCTCTTGCCTTTTGTAGTACATATGCCTTATCTTTTACCAAATCAACCCTCTTTCCTTCTTCAACGCATAATTTTTCAAAAAAATTAAAAAAAAAACTTTTAGTCAACTTGATACTTTTTTTTTTGATTTTTTCTGTTTATATTTGATTTTTTAAAACTTGTGTTGATGCTTTTGTTAAAAAAAAAGAAATCCAGTTTTAGGAGAGATAGGGGATAAGAGATTGTATAACACACACACACACACACACACACACACACACACACACACACACACACACACACACACACACACAGACCCTCTAGATATTGGTATATTTTTGAGTACCCCCCCCCCCCCATATACTTACGTACGTAAATTTATAAACCAATGTCTCTACGGTGTAAAAACCAGACACAGTTAAAAAAAGATAGCGGTATACAACTATGTATAAAAATGTATTTATGTATACAAATTATTAAAATAGGTAATAACCATACCATCTATTCATTATAACGAATCATTGTTTGGACAAATTATGCTCTATATATTGAGACCAATTGAAATCAATTAAACTTTGATACATCATTGTTAAACACTTGCAAACAATTAAGATACATTCCTTTACCCTAATCAAAATATGGTCAAGCCAGGTTCTAGGCTTTCATAAAGAGCCAAGTTTTTGGACTAATCCTTATTTATTAAACTTAGAAAGGAAATTCAGTGTATAGTTAAATCAATTAACTTTCAAAAATAATATTATAATATTTTAATAAGTCTGTAAACAGTAATCCTACAGTTAGGCGGCCTAAAATAGTTCTATTTTTTTTTGCTTGTTGTGCTCTTGTCAGTGATAACTTTTTACACATAAGTAGTATTTATCAGAATAATAAAAGAAAAAAATTGCTCCTTCATGCAAAACCCTTAATCGATGTAGCAGCGGACTCCCTTGCAGCAGCAGGCTATAAGATAGTCAATGTATGTGCTAAAGCCAATAACAATTCCTTATGTTTAAAAAGTCTCCACTGACTAGAGTGCAACAAGCGAAAAAATGAAACAATTTTAGGCTTCCTAACTGTAGCTTTACCCATTAAATATTAAGTTACTTTTATATACCTTGCACAGTAACACCAACAGGACATTGACAAGAACCACCTGTGATATCAAGAACACTTTGATCACATCTCTTACAAAAAGTTTGATAAGTGTTTGTTATCTGAGTGTCATTTTGACAACTTAAACATTGCTGTCTTGAACTTAATTCTCCATTTAACTGACGATCAATTGCTATTGACTGGCCTGAACAAGTATTGCATGTTTTAGTAAGCATATTGAAATCTGCATCAGTTGGGCAATTAATACACGACCACCCATCTGAAGATTGCACTTGCAAATCATCACATTGAGTACACTGAACCTGTAAACCACCATTATTTTTAATAAAACGAAAACCATTGGCACAAACGCACGACAAGCCATCTTGACTCTTTATTTGATTAGTATCACAATTAATGCAACGAAGAGATGAAAATTGAAAATACTGACCGACTTGACACTTTGAAGGGTCAGTGAACGGTATAAATAATGTTTCAACTAACAATAAAGAAGTAATAACTAAATATATCAACACTTGGCAGGAGAACATTTATACTTCTATTTATTTACTAAAATAGTTATTTCTAATAATCTGTTTCATAACATACCTACATTTAGGTACAAAAAATTATTTATATCTTGTGTTTGATTTCAAGCGCGCGCAAAAAAAATTATTTTTAATTATTTTTTTTTTTTTATTATTATTATTTTTTTTTTTGTTGCGATGGATTTAAATTTAAAATGACAAGGGCCACTTGTGTAAGTTTTTAATATATATATTATTATTATCATAATTATTGTTATTATTTTTACAATTATATTTTCTTTATTATACTCGATAAGAGCTGGGTACAGTGCCGTTAAGATTTTTACTTACAATTTACTTACTAATTTACTTACAATCGGTAAATTTACCGATCCTTACCGACTGAGCTCTTCGAGTTGTTGCTTATTGAGTTCCGCTCCTCGAGTTGTTGCTGTAGTTTTTATTTTTGTTATTAATTTTTTTTTATATTATGTATTTTTTATGTTATGTATTTGTTGTGTATTTTTATTATTTTGTGTTTCTCTCTCATTTTGGTTAACTGCTATTCTATATCTGATGGCCAGTTACAACAAACCGACCAATTTTAATATGAGTGGATTTCTTTATGAGTTTCCCCCTCGGTACGATATCCAAATATCTAGTTATAATAGAACAAACAAGTTCAGCTGTGTGCTTTTCTCTTCTATTTTTTATTGACTCCAGTTTCAATTTAGTAAGAAAAGGGGCTGAAATCTCGATTTGCTCCGCAAATAATTCTTGAAGCAATTTTTTGAACTACGTTCAGAGGCGATTCTACGAATAAAATGAGGGGAGGGGAGGTGAATCCTGAGAAAGTATCAACTGGCTTTTTTTAAAAAAACGGCTTTAAAACTAAAATTCATCTGACTGAATTGTGTCAAATACTCGACTATCCGACTAAATTCGTTTCTTTAACTATGATAGTGATGTAGATAAGAAAATTACATTACTTTCTTTGGTTAAATTACGGTTAACACCTCTAAAGCCTGATTCTACTAGATATGAGTTAGGATAAGATATCAATAAATTGAATAAGTTTTCATATCCATCATTATAGAAATTCTTTTTACTTTCTTCATCATATTTGATTTCTAAGAGTACTACTTGACACATTGCATTAACTTTCTTAACATTTGCTGTAAACGAATTTTACATCAACTCGTACACCTTTATGTTCAATGTTGTCTTTAAATCTTTTTTCACGTCAGATTTAAGTTCATTAAGGTGGCAACTGAATTTTTCAATATCTTCTGGAGTTAAATCATCTATTATAGATGATAGTTTGGGAAACTGATAAAATTTTTATTTAATAGATTACGACGAAAAAGTTCAAGTTTGTCAATATGTAATGACTATAAGCACGTTTAGACAATTTAATACTTTGGTAACTTATAAGAAGTATATAAGTGCCTTAGTTGTGAATTAAAATCATTAAATCTTTAAATAATATTTGCCAAATAAAAAGACATCCCATGTGACGATTGTTAATTGTTGGCAGTGGTTTTATTACTACTTTCAAAAATTTGCATTATACTATCATATAATGCTACAAAACGATTTTAACATATACTCTTTAATAGATATCAATCTTTTGTGCGCAAAAGAAATTTTATAATTTTCATTACTATTCCGGCTGCCGAAAGAATCTATAATTTTTGGTATTAGATTCGATTTAATTTACAGATCGAATTACTATGCTTAATAATAAATGAAGAGTTTTACCTAATTATTTTTCAACAAGATGTTGTCTGTGCTCCACACAATAAATACATTTACTTCAGCCTTGAAAAAAGCAATAAATCCATGATAGCGAAATACCATTGCTGGTGCTCCATCCGTAACGCAAGCAACAATATTATTTAAAAGAGTATTATTTTTTTTAAGTATGATTTCACAATAGTAAATACGGATAATTTTCTGGTACCCATAATAAGATTTATTTCAGGTAACATTTCTTTTTTGTAATTTATTATTTTCATCAAAATAACGTAAAATACATTGCAGACAATAAAGCGTTATTGTCTGCAATGATATAATTGCATTGAAAATGGACAATATAAAGAACATTAATCACTGTATTTTCCACATTAATTGCGATTGCTTCAATTCTACTGTTGTACCGCTTTATGACCAAAGTTTTCAAAGTTTTTAAGATTTTTAAGACTGAGAATCTTCATAAATGTGGTAATAAACTCATTTGATAGTGAGAATCTTCTTGCATAAATGTGGTAATAAACTCATTTGATAGTGTTTTATTACATACTCCAATGAACTGCCACAAGCGTATTTCTTTTTTTGAGATAAATTGTGAAGTTTTCTCAATTTTTCTATAAAATAAAAATATTAATATAGTTTGACTTGTTGATTATTTAGAAATCTAACTATGTACTGACGAGAGATTGCAAATTACAAATACTTTCTATATACCGATGTTTTTATATTAAGATTTTTTAAAGATAATCAATGTGCTTTATTTCATAGTGCTATATTTCTCTTTACTTATTGTATCTTAATTTGTATAATTTTTGTCTCAAAAACAAATATTTTGAGTTTATTCCATTTCAAAATTTTATATACTGAAATCTATCATTGATTGAAAAATTAGATCTAATAATAGACTGATTTGTTCTCATAGATCTATCTATTGATATTTTTTCTAGAAAATATCAATTTTTGTTGTAATGCGCCAATAAATAGTCCAGTCAGTCGTCGATTCGTCAAATTAATTTTCTTGTAATATTACTAAGCACGTTTTAAAGATTCACTATTTATATATAACAATAATAAGCGTATAAATGTGAATTCAACCTTTTTATTGAACAATACTTACTATTATTTAATAAAAATGTTTTACTTTTTAATTGATTAAATTTTTTAATTTATATATCCTTATTTAAGAAATCAAACGCAACGTTAGAATTATCCATGATTTCTATCTTTTGGATTTAAAAATTAGTCAATGCAAACAACCGTAATTTATTATTTATATAAATTTGCAAAATATGCTGCAAATTAGACACTATAAAAAACTCTTAAAATAGGAAGGAAGCAAAGAAAGTAAAGTATTCTACAAATTGTTAAAAAAATTCACAAGTAGTTGCAAATGAAAACTTTTTTAATTTTTATTTTATGCACTGCGAAACACAAACCTTTCAGCATATGACCATAGAAGTATAAAACTGAAGGAATTTCATCAAGCCGCAAACATCAAAGCAATTTCAAATCGTCTCAGGAGTATGCTTAAACCAACAATAAAAAAACAAAAAAAACAGCATTCTTCGATTAATTAATGTCACATTAATGCCACAAACATGCAATGTTTATGAAGGAAAATTTTTTGGAAAGAAATTCTTTGGGGAATGCAACTTTATATTACTACCTCATACTATGCAATATTGACCCACTAAAATATAAACTGTCTAAACAAAATAAAAAATTATTCGAGGATTTAAAATTTCATTAAAAACATTATTACATGACATTAAAACTATGTAAATTTGTTTTTATTTGCAAACAATTGTTAAGTTTAACTATTGTTTGCAAATCTAAATTTAGTTAAGATTTACAAATTATTTGAATTTCTTTATTTGGAATTAGCATGATTTTATCAGCGAAGCAAGAGCTTTAAATTTTATGATTTTTTTTGCTTAAGGTTTTTATAATATTTAAAGAAATTTTTCTTATATATATATATATATATATATATATATATATATATATATATATATATATATATATATATATATATATATATATATATATATATATATATATATATATATATATATATTCAAAACCTTTTTACTACTCCTAATAGTGAATCTAAAAAACATCATTTTGGAGTCTATAGATAACATTCGCTCATCGGCGTTAACATGAATTTAGTTAAAATCTTTTGGAAAAGTGCCTTATTACACTATAGATCGTAGTTCTTTTTAGTTCCATTGGTATATTAACTACAGTTGTCAAAATACCATACTTTTTATTAATTTTTACAAAAATACTAGAATTCCGACCAACAAGGAGCTTATAATTTAGAAAAATTGCCAATAAACGATCAGAACAGATCATATCATTAAACTATGATGTTCATTCCACATAAACAACGTATTTATTTAAAATCAATTGTGATTTAAAGATTTTTTTTTTTTTTAAAAAGAATCTTCGGTCTAGATTTTTTTGCTACAAACATACTTTATGATATCGCAAAATTTATTAATTAAATTATTTTTCGTCTTTTCAAATTCACAAACTAGATCATTTAACGGAAATAAGTCGTAGACAACAAAATATCATATTGACGCTTAAATATTTTAAAATTGACTTAACTACAGCGAGTAGGTTACAAATAAAAATAAGTTTAATAATTTGTAAATTTAAAAAATTGTAAACTTAACTATGGTAATAACTTTTGAATTCCAAAATTTTTTTAAATAAAATTTTAAATGTATTCATAAATTCATAAATCTTATTTGAAATAAAATTGTTTTTTCAGAAAAACTTATTTTTCCACATTTAGGTAGCTGATTTAGAGCATTTTTTAGAGACCTTTAGAGCATGTTCGTTAATGTGCATTAAGAGATCGTCCCTAAAGTACGTACGCTCGGATGAGGGAGAGGGGGTCTACAAATAGCGTAAACAAAATGGGGGGCAGAGGGTCAATTATAAAAGTACGGAGAAACTAGTTTAAAAAAAATTATCATAAAGTGTACGGTAGGTAGGTTAAAAGCGTAGGTAATTTTAGGGAGGTGGAGGGTACTCAAAAAAGCGTGTAACAAAATGCGGGGTGGAGGGTGGCGTGAGGGGTTCAAAATTAAGGTGTACGTACTTCATGGACAACCCCTTCTCTGCGTAGTTTTTAACAAAATAAACATTCTTACTTGACATATACTTATAGGTATCATAAAATATGTTTGTAGCGAAAAAATCTAGACCGAAGATTCTTTTTTTTTTTTTTTTTTAAATGTTTAAATCACAATCAATTTTAAATAAATACGTTGGTTATGTGGAATGAACATCATAGTTTAATAATATCATCTGTTCTGATCGTTTATTGTCAATTTTTCTTAATTATAAGCTCTTTGTTGGTCGGAATTCTAGTATTTTTGTAAAAATTGATAAAAGTATGGTATAGAACAATCAAAAACTTAGAGAACAAATCCTGGATCTGCCCAATGAACTGTTTCAGGTTGTATACTTTTTATGGAAAAAGAAGCAATGTTTCAAAATTGTCTACAAAAAAATTTTGTTATCGTCAACCTAATAATGTAGCTTATATGTTTTTTTTATAACCGAGCAAAAATAAAGTTTAAAAAGAAATATTATGTGGTATTTTAATACTTCAGAGGTTCTACAGATATTACTATCAGTCAGTGACGGAGTCAGTATTTTTTGGTGTTGAGATAACTAACTTTCAGACACGGAGCAAACTCTAATTATTGCATGTTTATACATATGTCAAATATAGATGCTTTTCCAAAAATCACGATGATTAAAAGCTGGGAACAAAAAAGTCCTAAAAGTTCATACCCCCACCCACCCAAACAAAAGAGCAACACGTTGATAAAATATTTTTTATACTATTATCGACTAGACTTATATTTATCGATAAATAGTATTAACTCTCAGCCTTAAAAAATGATGACCGTATAAAGTTTAAATCGCCATTAATTTGAGGGAATTTTATATGGTCATTATTTTGGAACGCTGAGAGAAAATACTATAAAACTTAAAATTTATCAATGAATATAAGTTGAGAATAGTTCAAAAAATATTTTATCAACTTGTTGCCCTCACGTTTGGGGGAGATTAACCTTTAGGGCTTTTTTGTTCACAGCCTCCAATTATCACAATGTTTTGCAAAGCATCATTTTTAACATAAGTATAAACATACAATTGTTTGGAGTTTTCTCCATGTCTGGAAGTTAGCTCAAACACCAAAAAATACTGGATCCGTATATATATATATATATATATATATATATATATATATATATATATATATATATATATATATATATATATATATATATATATATATATATATATATATATATATATATATATATATATATATATATATATATATATATATATATATATATATATATATATATATATATATATTTCCATTAATTAAGTTGCCTATTTCTACTGAGTCACCTCTAAGAGATTGACCTTGACTGTACAAAAACTTCAAACATTCAACCACTCCTCAAAACATCCTTCTAGTAATTTTTTCATCCGTATTCAACTGTTGTTTTCTATTTTATGTTTTTTCATATTTCATATTTTGTTGTGACTTTTGCAAAATAGTACTGAACTGGAATGCAAAGAGAAGAAACAAATTTTTAACGTGAAAAAAAAAAAGTTAATTCTCCATTTAATAAGTTACTTATGTAGCGAAAGCAAAAAAAGAATTTAAATATAAGCTCATAACATATCTCATATTACGTTTATAACATAAACGTATGTATTTAGAGGGGGGAGGGGGGAAGCATAGGAGTAATAACCCCCCTCCCTCCCCACTCTCTCCTTAGGACTTTTTTTCAGAATTTTTTTTTTGAAAACCTGAATTTGAAATTATAAACTTAGAAACGTTTCATACTGGTTCAAAGTAAATAAACTTTTAGTAACTACTGACAAAACTAACTGGATTCTATTTCATCCTTTTTCCAACACTATACGAAACGCCATCTATATTAATTGATAATATTCAAGTTAAAAGAGTAAAAACAACTCAGTTTTAGGGATACATATTGATGAAAATTTTACATGGAAATAACATGTAAAATTTAAGCAACAAAATTTCAAAATGTATTGGAATATTATACAAATCAAGAAGCTATTTAAACATGCGTACTTTAATGCAACTATATTTTTATCTATTATTTATATCGGTTTATATGATTTGTAATGTATGATTTTTCTATATATGATTTGTAACTCAATTATTTACGATCTGCAAGCCTATATTGCTATTATACTATCTATCGTATACTATTATACTATCTGTCAAATTATCTTTCAGAAATTTTAATTGAACTTTTTATTTTTTGTAGTTTTTTTAATTTAAATCTTGTTATTCTTTTATTATTGCATAACACTTACTTTTTTATTTACTACGTAAAATATTTAACTTATAAAAATGTAACAACGCCTTTTTACAGCGGTACTCGATGACAAGACTTTTTACAGCGGTACTCGAGTTTTTCTACGAGTTTCCGCGTTCTTTTATATATATATATATATATATATATATATATATATATATATATATATATATATATATATATATATATATATATATATATATATATATATATATATATATATATATATATATATATATATATATCTTCACTTGTAAATGTTTATATTTTTTTATTTTAGCTTGTAAATTTTATGAATTATTAACGTGATGTTTTAAAATGCAATAAAGAACAAAAAAAAAACAACAACCGACTACAGAGTTGGACTGTTATACTGACGAATGAAATTGACTATTATTCGTAATTATATATATATATAGGTATATGAACCTGATTATTACACTAAAGTGCAAAAAATTAAAAAAAATAGTTACTTATAAATGAAACTATGCGGACGCTAAATGAAACATTGTTAGCTTAACAAATTTTTACTTTTTTAAATAAAGTAAAAATTTGTTTAGCATAATTTTCAGGAATTCGGAAAACCCCGTTGCATGTTTTTTTACGTAAAAATCGTCATTAGTTACAACTTCGTTCTGAGGAATATAAGTAAATAAATAATGTAAGAGCATGGAAAGAGGTTGCGAAAATAGAATGTCCGCCATTTTGTGTGCCATGTCTTTTTCTCCGGGTTATCGCAGCCATGAGGTGAGTGTCTCGAGTCATGATTTAGTTCTTAGCCATTTTAATTTATGTGCTAACTTTTTATTCAATTCTTGTACTTCAAATCATTAAAAGTATGTATTTTTAATTATTTTTTCATTTTGCGATAATTAAAAGCATTTATAAGGTCACTGCTGATTTATTCTGTCGTAATGATACATAAGTTGATGTTGACTACAAAGTTTACAATTTAGCATAACTTTATCAAATATATATATATATATATATATATATATATATATATATATATATATATATATATATATATATATATATATATATACATATTGTATATATGGGTTTGTATGGATTTTAATGCTTTTATTTTTATCTGTATGTGGATGTGTTTCTGAATTTTATTTATTTTTTCTTTCCAGCACCTTAAGGCTCCAAAAGCGATTGGCCGCTAGTGTACTTAAATGTGGTAAAAAAAAAATTTGGCTTGATCCCAATGAATCTTCAGAAATTGCTAATGCTAACTCAAGGCAAAATATACGTAAATTGATCAAGGATGGTTTGATTATTAGAAAACCTCAGGTTGTTCACAGTCGTGCTAGGATACGAACTAATTTAGAAGCTAAACAAAAAGGACGTCATAAGGGCTTTGGTAAACGTCATGGTACTGCTAATGCACGTATGCCTGAAAAGGTAATCTGGATGAACAGAATGCGTGTTCTTCGTCGTCTTCTAAGGAAATATAGAGAACAAAAAAAAATCGATCAGCATTTGTAAGGATTTTATTATCTATGTGTTATATTAACTTATTAAATCTTCGTTAAAATATAATTAACAACAATCACCTTAAAACATGTAATAAGCACTTTTTCTTTAATTTTAGATGATGTTATGTGTAAAATTAAAATATAAGAAATAAAACTAAAGTTTATATTTAGGGCACATTAGTGCCTGCTAAATTCTGACTTTTTTTGGCCATTTAATAGTTGTGATTGTATTTTTGCCAAATCATTAACAGTATAATCTTAATTTGAGCTGGCAGCATTCCTAAGTTTACACAAAAGATTTCTAGTTTTCTTGAAAAGCCTTTTTTTTTAAATCATTGTTGAATTATTTTTGTTAGCATTGCATATTTCTTTTTAAATATATAAAGTGTGTTATTTTACTTTTATTTGCTTAGATATCATGATCTTTACATGAAATCCAAAGGTAATGTTTTTAAAAATAAAAGAAATTTAATGGAACATATTCATAAAAAGAAAGCTGAAAAGAAGAGAAGCAAAGAACTTTCGTAAGTGGTTTAATATATCAATTTTTCTTTTAAAAAGTTTTTTTTTAGCTGAAAAAAATAAATAATAGGAGAAGGGTAAAATTTAAAAGGATAATGACACTTAATAGATAGTAGATTATTTTACAGTCAACTAAAACTTTTAAACTATGTATTTTTGTATGTCATAAAATTTAGGTTAAATTATTTCTAGAGCCTACGGTTTTCATTATGAAATTTGCTTTAAAAAAATATGCTTAAATTTCTTTTCAGCTGTTTATGTAGTTGCATAGTAAACATAATTTCAAAATTTTGCTCATAAAATCAACTAGATTTAAGCCCTAACCCTATACAACTAAATTTAAGCCAGAAAATCAATTAAATTTAAGTATTAAAAAAAAAAAAGATTTAGCGGACTTGTAAACGATGCACCCCCATGAAATACTAATAATCATGACCTAAACTGTTCCAATTCTTACGGTCAATGAATGTATATTTCGTTGTGTCAATCTCTAATGGTTAATCAAAGCATTGACATTTAATTCTATTCATTAATTATGATCAATTGATGTAATTACACTTTATTTAATTAATTAATTTTACTAGGTCAGTAAAATATCATTTTTGATAAAACGTGTTTTAAACTTAGGGGGGTGCGGGGTTTACAAGTCTGCCAAAGATTTTTATATAAATTAATATAAGGGCCCATTAAAAAAAAATCTTTGTAATCTATGCGTTCTAGCTATTGTTGTTAAAATTCTCATTGTAAATTTGTTATGTACTACTAAAGGTTAAAGATTGAACATGTATTTAACTATTATTGCGGTTTAAATTAACACAAATTGTTGTAGATTGTTATATTGTAATAAAAACCAAAAAAAAAATTAAGCATTTTCCTAAAAAAATTGTTATTTTTTCCATAACCAAAATAAATATGCTGTGTTACTGTTTCTTTCGGTATTCCTCTCTGTTCTTTAAATGTGCTAAAGCCTTTTAAAGTATAAATGTGAGTGCAAACACATTATTAGGGTGATTCAGAAAGCAACATTTAGAAAAAAAAACTGCTGGTATCGTATTTTTAAATAATATCACATTCTAAAATAAATAAAAAAATGTTTTTACAATTGTGTCTTTATGGTTGCCATTAGCCATCTAATCATTAAATGGATTACAATTATTTCAGAAAAAGTTTCTTAAAAGTATGTCTTGTTGGGTTTTGATTAAAGTTATATACAACTTGATAATCGTTTTATAAAAGATAAATTAATTGCTTTTGCAATAAGATTTTATTGTACTAAATTCAATTTTCTACTAAAAGGGTTTTTCTCAAGATTATTATTTTTATTATTATTAAATGATTTTTTATTGTTGTTATGGAAGACATTAAAGGGAGATCAAAAATATTTTTTTAATCACTTTAGTCATCTATTTTTTATCTTTTGAGAAAACTTTTGCCTTCAATATAATATAAAAATCAATAAAACAATTTTTTCAAGAAATGTTGCATGGTGTTCTCTGCTGGTATTACTTTTTACATAGTATTTATCATTCATGAACTACCGACATTAAATAACACAGATTATTGTCTTCAGTTTTAAATAACTGCAAGCACTGGCCTTTGTTACATTCTAGATCTACAATAAAGTTATTTAAGAATTTGTAAGTTTATTCAAAAGGAATCTTACACACAATACATATGTTTATATTTGTTGCATAAATTGAGGTTCATGGGCAATGTGGTGTTTTGAGCTGGTATACTTATTAGTGTGTTTAGTTTACCATTCGTGAAACACCAACAGCAACTATCAAAAATTATTGTCTTCAGTTAATCTGCAAGCACTGGCTTTTGATTACATTTGTTCATTATTCTATAGTCTATTTATAGAAACTTGTTGTTGCTGTCCCATTTGACCTGTATACTTCTGCGGCATAATAAGCCGACTGGTCTTGACTGCTTATTTAATTTCAGCGTGCAAATTATGCCAAAAATAACTTCTTCTGGTACTTTATTATTTACATTATCTTGTGAATTATAAATGCTAGATGAAATATTCCTGTTTTCTGAAACCATTATTAAAATATAATTGTCTACGGCCTAATAAGCCGACTGATTTTGAAATAATTTAATTTCAGCGTGCAAGTTATGCCAAAAATAACTCATCTGGTGTTGTGTGATGTTCACATTAGCTTGTGGACCTATTGATGTTGGATGAAATATACTTTTTATTTATTGTATTAACTTAATATTCTTTCCAATCGTTTAGTTTTAAAATAGGTCTTTATAATAGTATTAAAAAATTAATAATATTCAAATATTAGAATTTTAACTAAACTCAACTGTAATATCTACCAAAGAGTTATTAGAAGGGCTATTAAAAAGTGTTCAAAATTATTTTGAAAATAGATGTTCTGTTTAACGTAATTTTTACTCATTAATACTTTAGTGATCAAGCTGAAGCCAGACGAACTAAAGTCAAGGCTGCTCGTGTCCGTAGAGATGAACGTCAAGCACAAAAGAAAGCAGAAATATTGCAAGCTTATGCTAAAGAAGATGGTGTTCAGCCTCAAGCTACTTCATAATAATCTGAAATACAAACTTAAATTTAAACTGTCGTTTCTTATTCTCACCAAAGTCGATAGTTGTGTTTAACTAATTCAATGTACCCTATTACTGGGCGTATTAAGCTTGGGGGTATTAATATTTTTAAGGATGTTGGAGTCTATATTTTACTGAAAGCCGATGCGATTTCTAAATAAAAAATACTTATGTAGTTAACTTCATTTCTATAAGGAAATTGTACTATAACAGGGTTATCTTTTTCCGGATATTTCCGGAATTTCGGATATTTTTCTCAACTTTTAGTTTTTCCGGATATCAAAAATGTTTGCTATACATGCAACTTTAGGAATATATTTTTGTAATATATTTGCTTTTTAAGCTTTTTTACTCATTCAAAAATAAGGAAAAGTCTAAAAAAAAATACAGCTCAAATCAAAATTAAGGGGAATATTAGGGAAAATATATTCTGGAAAAATATATTATAAATTTTACCCTACTGGTTTTTAAATTTTTTTGGTATACTTCAACACTACTTAAGGTGGCTCACCACTAAAAAAGAAAAAAATCCCTTAATTTCATAATTTCAAGTATAAGAGTATATATGAAAATAAAAATCAACATAAGTGTGATTTTACACCAATTTATTCCTAAATTGCGAAAATATGTCAAAAAGATTGCAAAATCAGTCAAATTTAAACAAAATTTTGAAAAACGATAACTTGGAAACCATTTGAAATTAGATCTTCATATTTTGCAAACAGTTTGATGCACATAAAATGAAGGGCCTGAACCCAAATCACTGCTATATTCTTAGTAAAAGTTTAAAAATTTTTTTTTTTTGGCAAAAACATTAAAATTTGGGGGGTTGGCTAATGAAATAAAATATAAAAATGTAAATAATTCATCAAATCCAATAATATATTTGGTTCAGGCCCTCCATCATTACATGTAGAACATGTCATGGAAATTCGAAGCAAAAAGCTTTAGTCATTTAAAAGTTATGAAATTTCAAAAATTAAAAATTACACAAAAAAGTAAATGAAGAAAAATAACAATAAACATTTTATTACTAATAAAAATATCAAAAACTTCTAGATGAGTAGGGTTTAAAGGTTTCCAGTTGTTTCTAGGGTTTAGAGGTTTCCAGTTTGTCTCAACAAAATGAAGACAAATTTTACACCATTCTCAATATTGAGGTGACTCATCACTCTCTGAACACCAGCAGTTCCCTCATTAAAATACAATGCAGCTAAATTCACTCCCAACTCAAATGAAGCTTTGTGAATTTTGGGCATCTAGACCATATTATTAAGACCTATTAAGACCCTCATTAGAATTTTGTGTTTGACCATGAGTGCATTTTTTCAAAAGGTTGTCATCACTTAAATCTTTAAACTCTTTCTTAATGATATCATATATCCATACTGGTAAATTAACTTTTGGTATGTAAATGCTGTTACCTGAAGAGTTTCCTTTCTTCCATTTACACCAGCTATTAGGACCCACTGGACATAACACGTGGCGATAAAATTGATCAGGAAATTAGTGCAATGGTAAAGAACTGCGCGAATGTTTTTTTTCACTTGGTATACCTTTTCATTTTTACTTAAGGAATTATAAGCTGCAGCCTGTCTAATAGCCATACCAAAATAGTTTTGTATTCTATTAACTGCGCATTCTGTCAATTTTCCTTTTCCAGTTAACCGATTACCATGATGTATATCTTTTCTTTGATTACGTAATCTTGTACCAATGCGCTTTTGGATATGACCAACACATTCTAACTCTTCCGGTTCGATTTGATACTTTCCATACGGATTACTGCTAAGAACATCATTAAATGCAGAGGAATCTCTATCTCCCAAATAATATTTAAAAATCAAATCATTTTTTTCTACAGAACGATTAAATATCTTTACCACACCAGCACTTTCCCTAACCCCTGACGATGCAATGTGATTTAAGGAGCAAACATGATTAGCTTTCCATTCAGCATAACCTGGATGATTTTGCTTTCTTTTCCACATTCTACATCCCCTACAATACTTGAAAAAGACTTCGAAGTCAATACATTGCTCTTCTGAAATAGTGGTCATTACAACATTTAGCGAAACATGACCGGGTTTTTTGCCATGAGCCATCTGAAGAAACTCTAATTAGTTTTTTTCCTGAACCAATGTGCTCCTCTTTAACTTTATGTTTAACTTTTATTGCAGCTGCCTTTGTGGATTGTTCTGCTGATAATTTATATGCATTTTGAATAGTGCTATTAAGTTTGTTAAATGCGTTGTTATTCATGCATGAAGTGTTTGCAATTCGTGCAAAGTCCACTAAGGCTTGGTGTCCTTTCCCAATTTCACGAAAAGCAATAACCTAAGGTTGATATCGAAATAATTTCTGCCTTGTTTAGATACAGATTTTTTAACATCATCGGATGTATATGTACAATACTGAAATTTACATTTAGTACATTTAAAATTCAACTTGTGAGAAAGCCCACTTCGTTTATCGTTTTCATCTGTAAAAACAATACAACTGTTACATTCTGGGCAATTGACAATATTATCAATAACTTTTTTTAAAATAGAGGAGTTTATTATAATGTTATAATTTTATGAATTAATATAATTATCAGCTTTTGTTAGAGACTTTGCTGGCACTAACTGAACATGCTCAACATTTTCTTCTTCTTTAAGGGTAGGTGTTTTGTTCCACTGGTTGCCATAAAATGCTCTTTTTCTTTTTGAACTCTTTTTTTTTTTTTTTTTGCTTCCCATTATATATAATATCTTAACATTTTAAAATATATAATATGAAACTGATAAGTTATACTAAATAATAAGAAAAATAAAAAGCTTTTTAAATACAACAATAAATTATCACAAGATGGCTTCAGATAAATCATACGAAAATAACAACTTCCATAGACTGTTACATTCTAAACTTTTGTCAAACCATGCTGGCCTACTAAACTAATGCGTAACTAACCAAAGTTGACAATAAAAACTTAAATCAAGGCAAAAAGTTCGTGTTGCTAGGGGCCGTTGCTATGGTAAAGTTATTTGATAAGGTCTAATTAAAGTGAAATACCTCAAAAAATACTCAAGATATATGAAAACAGAATCCAGAAACATTTTCAGCAATGTTGAATTGCTATAAAACAAAAAAAATCTTAAAAACCAACTTTTGATAAAAATTTAGTTTTTTTTAGTGGTGAACCACCTTAAATATATTTCGTCAACCGGAGGCATTTCTACATTTTATCATCAATAAATATTTAACTATCTATGGAGTATGTGTCCAATAAATCTAGTTTCAAGAATGATACAACTTTTAAAAAAGTTAGGATAAACTAAAAGACCCGGATAAAAATAGACAATATAGAAATTAGCTGATTACAACTTGTTTTGTTTGCAAATGTGATTTATAATGAAATTTTCAAACAATTGTATTTTAACTGAAATTGTATAACCTGAATATTTATTTCAGAGCTCATTTTGACTTTAATATTATAACAAGACCCTAAGTAACTAAACAATGTGAAATCCTAACTTAAACGCTGCTTAAGTTTGAATATAGCAGAAAGTAAAGAAGAGAGTCGAGAAATAATACAGCAGTTGACAAGTTATCGAATAATATTATAAATACAAAACTTAAATGAATAATCGATAACATATACCTCAAAATTTTTTAAATGTGACTAAGCGGTTTTTTCCTTGAGATTTTTTTTTTTTAATTTGTTATTTAGGCGCCCCAAGAAGTCTTCACAGAGCACCACGGAAGTGCATTTAACCAGAAAGTTCACGCCTCTTTCCTTACCGTGACGTGAAATATGTCCAAAGCTCGTTTCAAACCTGGATCTCCTGCTTAATATGTTTTTCAAATAAAACAAATACATTTTTTCGAATGTAACAAAAACTTTTTTTAATTAATAACACCATTGAGGTATAATAGACTTTAATATAGCATAAAGGATAACAAAGATGTATAATAGACTTTAATATAGCATAAAGGATAATGAAGCCGAAAATCGTGGTTTTTGTAGTGTAACTATTTTTTTTGGCACGTAATACTTTATAGAGAAAAAGAAAAAAAATTTGAAATAGGCTTTGAAAGCTATAATCAAAGTAGATATAAATGCATATATATGTATACATATAAGTGAATTTAATATGTATACTGAAGATACTGTGAAAATTTCAAGAAAATTGAACTTTTCTAACCAAAGATATTTGGTTTTGAAGTTACAAAAAACCAAAGTTCAATGAAACGCAAAAGAAAGTTATAATATATTTAAATATATTCATACATTTTGATTTAAACCCTCCTGATACATAAAATTATGTTTCATTTTGAAAATAATGTTTCATTTTGTTTATCAGAGTACCTTTTTTTTCTTGCTCTGAGACTTTTTCTTCTATTTTTTAACTTTTCACCTGACTTTATCTCCATGCTCTTTACACGTGAAATGTTTTGTAAATAAGGTTTAGAGTTTGTAACAAGGCCTAAGTCCAAATAAAAGTATGGTACCTAAGGTGTTGAAAACATTTTTAACACCTTAGGTACCATAATTATTGTGTAAAATTGCTGAATTAATTCTCATTTTAAAAGTTTATTTACAAACAAATATATTTTTAGGCCAACAAAACCAAACCAATACATTAGAACTTTAATATGTATTTTAGGTCTGCCCATGTACACATTTTTAAAAAAATGTTGAATTTTTATTACATATATTTTTGTACTTTTGTATTACATTTGTGTCTTGCATTCGAAGATATTTTACGACTTTCAGATTCTTTTTCATGACGTAAATTTTATTTGCATTACTTCTCATAGCTGAACCATAATACTATTGCATACTATAAATCATATTCTTATTCAGTTTGTCTTTTCTACCAAGTTCAAAAAATTACTATTGTAACTTTGTAATATCTTTACATCTTGACCAATGATTTTTGACTGAAATTTTTAGAGCATATTCAGAATACAGCAGAAATTCGGTTAACAGACAGGATTAAAAAAACTCCAGCTCAATTTTCTTTAATAAAAAAATTATTTCACGTTTTACGTCAAATCATTTAGTGTTTTAAGTATATTTTCAATAATTCGTGATTAAATTTAAAATAAGTTTTTATATTTTAAAATCCATCCGTCAACCGGAATCAAACATTATAATGCACCAATCTACAAAGTTGAGCGAGAAAATATTTTATTTCAGAAATTTTAAAGATATATTTCCATCTGAAAAATATTAGTTTTTGGCTTTTAAGGGTGGTATGGCCGCGTTGTTGTAAAGTACGATCGAACATCGAACATGGTCATTATTGGTTGAATATCGTTAATATGATTGTCTTTTATTTCAGTTGTGGCACTTTTCATACTTTCATTCGCAGTTTTATAATAAGCTTTTAATATTTCTATATTTACGTTTCTAAATAGAGTAGCTGTCAAACATTGTAAATTCATATAGTGACTAAAGTTTTTTATAGCTTGATACCCTTTTCCAATTTCTCAAAATTGAATTATCATTCTTGTGTTTGCTGCAAATGTTTTCCTATCCTGGGCCATTTTTCCATTCAATTTACTACTCTTTTTAGAAGAATATAAAACTTTTTTCCATTCACATATACCACACTTAATTTCAAAAAAATGGGTAAAACCCATTCATGCATTCAGAAGAATAATCAACAATCGCAACAAGGCTGTAACAATAAGGATATCTAACACTTTCCACAATATCAAACAAAGTTGAAAAATTGATAAGTATGAAATAATCATTGCTTACAATTTGGAACAATCTTCCTTCCCAAATAAAATCTCTTAAATCATTCTCAAAATTTCAAACTGTTCTCTTTAACCATTTTTTAGAGAAATAATGTTTACAAATCTTATATCCTTTTACAACTTATTATTTATAACCCTAACGCGGAGCTTCTATTCATCTATTATTTTTTCTCTTTTCTATTGTGATATATTACTAATTTTAATATCATTTATTAAATTTATTATTTTAAACTGAAATGTTTCAATAGTATTCTCTTTATCACTATTGTTGTTATTATTACTATATTTTTATCATAATGAATATTATTGTTATTATTGTTATTATTATTATTATTGCTATTATTATTATTATTGTTATTATTATTATTATTATTATTATTATTATTATTATTATTATTATTATTATTATTATTATTATTATTATTATTATTATTATTATTATTGATATAACAACTATATTCAGAATATATTTTATTTGATTTGATTATTTGATTTGCATTAGTATAACGATTTTCAGTAAAAAAATCTTTTTTTTTTTTTGTCCAAAGTTTTGCTTATTTGATACTTTAATGTTATTTCTTGAAGCACTCATTATTTATAATACTTGAAGTAAAATCTAAAAATGCAACTTAAGTACATGCTGTTTAATTTTGATGTTGGCAATATCAAAATTAAACAGCATGTACTAAAGTTGCTACAAAAAAACAGCCAAAATTTACAATGTTTCTTCAGTTAATGACCTAACAATTGCAAATACTTTTTTTAGTTTTTGATTTGAACCTTGTTATGTTTTTAAGGATAAATATCAAGGTAAAAAACTGTTAATCGTTGCTAAGAGCGTAACTAAGGACGTTTTATGTAGTTACATAATCGTTATATGTAGTTACATAAAAACTTTATAAACTAAATATATTAAAAAATTTTTTCAGTACATGAAAACTAAATAATTTTTCTTCAAAAATGAAAAAACAAACAAACAAACGGCTTTTTAAAAATATTTCAATATCATTTCTAGCTCTACCACCTGAAATCGAGGATTTTATTTTGTGTTGTAGTATTTTTGCGGGATTTAAAAGCAGAAAGCTATTTTTTAAACATATATAAATTATAAAAACTTTAACTGTAAAAAACACCTATCATTTACAATTAAGTTAAAAAACATTTTGAAAAAATGAAACTGAAAAGTAACAAGAACGTACGTTTGTTTTGCACTATAAATGACGAAATTCCAAATCCAATGAACATGTTAATCACATGTTAACCTACTTTTCAATGATTGACAAATACCTTGGAACCGATGATTGACAAATACCCTAAAAAAAGTGTTTGCTTATAGTCAGAACAGGCTTCTGTTTCTTATGACAATGACAATTGGTTGTACGAGTAAAGCCACAAAGTCCCAAGTTGTCACAAACTCTATTAATTAAAACTATTGAGGTTTTATAACAGTAGAGATTTCAAAATTTAATTAGAGGCATTTTAAAAAGACAAAGACAAAGAAGAAAATTATTATTTACAAATCTTTTGTTTCAACTTTATCTTATATTAAAATTAGTCTTATATTCGTAATTAATTCATAATGAAAATAATTAAACACCTATTTAAAACAAAAATAATCTATAATTTTCAAACAACCTTATAATCACATTAACCTTACACAAGGTTTTAATACAGTTTTTTAACATTGCAGAGCAAAATTACTTCAAAATGTTTAAAAAAAAAATTATATTAACATTTTGTCCAATAACTCAGTAACTTTTATTGATATGAGATCATATTACCCAAATAAAAGCTCTGTCTCTTGTGAACATTTTAAGAATTTAAAGTTTCTAAAAATGTTTAATAATCTTGGAATATCTTATGATTGAATGAAATGTTTATTGCACATATAAGTGAAAAGGACTTTTGTGTTTTTACAAAAACAATTTTTTTTTTCTTGGATGCCGATAAAATTTTTCTTAGATGTTATTTTTTAAAAGTAGACATCAGTACACATGACTGGTGGACATTTTTTTGGTTTGAACCTACTTATTCTAGGATATGCCGCACTGTTTTATATATATATATATATATATATATATATATATATATATATATATATATATATATATATATATATATATATATATATATATATATATATATATATATATATTTATATATATGTTCTTCATCTATATGAAGAGCTCATGGGAAAAAACGGCATAGTCACATTTAAAATGTTTTGGGAAAGTATATCACAGCCGTGGCTAGGCTACCCCACACCTACAAATGGGGGCAGGGTGGAGTTGAGCAAATTTAAATAAGTTTAACTTGTTTTACTGTATAATTGTTGATACATCTTGGATGTAAAACAAAGAATGGATATAACTTTTGCTGTATTTGGAAACATTAAAGAGTGACTTGAGTGCATTCTTTTTTACTACATCAAGCTTTTGCATTTATATGTCTAAATAAATGTGATTAAGCCGTTTTTTCCCGTTTGCTCTTAACATATGTAAGACAAGTAAAATATTTAAGATAAAAACAATAAGTAAAATAAATAGCAAGTCAAAAAAGTTTTTATAATTTTATAGAAAGATTTTTGGTTGAATTTATATTGTCGACTTATTATATAAAAATTACAATTATAGTAAAAGTAAAAATTTAACAACAATCAAAAACACAGTATTACAAAATTTTAGGTGAGGAGGTTCCGACAACTCTTACGCAATAAATACGTTTTGAGATGTCATTCAAACTCTATAATATTTTATTTATTTTCAATTCAGGTTTTTGTATAACTATAGAGAAACAAACTTATAGGTAACTATTATTCTTTCTTTTTGAATTATTGGACTAACATTACAAAACAAATATTATAATACATATATTAAAATATTGAGTTAAATAAGTTTAGCGTGTGTGACATTGTTTAACTTAGTTGGCAAATAGAAAAACATTTCACATTATGTAACATAACATGTGTCAAGTTTCAAAACTTTAAATAACCTCCTTAGTTTTCATTTTACTTATTGGATTGATGTAACTATCTCATTTAATGAAAACATTGTTTTCATGTTGTTGTTTTTTTTTCTTGTTTTGACATTTTAAACTTTTTATTAATTCTTATACTAAAATAATAACAAAAAAATTTAATTGAAGCAAAAAAACCTTATTACCATCTTTAGCATAAACGTTTATACAATGCATATCAGAACTTCAATTATCATTTTTTTGGGAATTGGACTATGTTCAGCTCAATGGATGATCGGGGTTCCCGGGCTGTATCGGTCTAAATTACTGAGAGAATATCCAGAATTTTGCGGCAACCTAAAGTGTCCAAAATTTAACATCACGTCAATAGGCGATGACTACGAAGAAAGGTGTTATGAAAAGTCAATGTGGGCGTCAACTTCAGTACAAGTACCGCATAAGCAATCCACTTGTAAGTTTTTAATTAAATTACTTAAAAAATTACTTAAATTTTTCAAAAAATAAATATGTTTGCAAATTTTTGTATTTTACTAGCTGTATGAAAATAAAAAAATCAGCATTTATGTATTTAGAAGGGGCATAACTATGTATAAACTATTTTTAAACTACCCAATTCTTTTTATAGCCTTATTAGCTATTTTTAAAGTATGGTTTCATTTTGTATAAAAATCAAAAAAATGACCCGTTACACCCATCTGACATAAATTTCATTTCTCTCTCTCACACTCTTTCTATATATATATATATATATATATATATATATATATATATATATATATATATATATATATATATATATATATATATATATATATATATATATATATATATATATATATATATATATATATATATATATATATATATATATATTATTTTAAAGCATTTGGACCAATGTTTCAATCCCTTTACAAGTATATCAGCGGTGAAAATGATCAAAAGATTGAAATACCGATGACGGCCCCAGTTCTTATTACAGTAAAGATGTCTGCAGATAAAAATGATTTTTTGGATATCAAAATGCACTTTTTTATTCCTCCAACTAATTTAACCATTCCCAAACCCACTGCTGATGTTATTAAACTAGTAAATTATCCGAAGATTTGTGTCTACGTTCGAGTTTTTAGTGGATATCAGACGTCTGTTAACAAAAACTTGGTGTTACAACGTCGAAAACTTACTGAGGCACTTGACAAAGCCGGTCGAAACTATAATAAAAAAGATTTGATTTATGCAGGTTACGATTCACCTTGGAAAATATTTAACCGACATAACGAAATTATGGTAAGAGTCGAACCGAAAGAATCTGCTACTACAGGCATTTTAGCAAAAGAGCCAAGCTTTTATTTAAACGATGTTGCTTAATTTTTAAAATGTCTAATTTTTAAATAAAATAATACATTTATATGTTTTTATGACCTTTCATAAATTATAAAAAAAACTTTTTAAACTGATGTAATAAATGTGATTTTAAAAATAAAAATGTTTGCAACTACAGCTTTTTTTTTTGGTTTATGCATAAGTTTTTTTTATGTTAACATGGCCTACTATATTATATATATAATATAGTAGGCCATGATGTTAATTAAGGTGCCCAAAGAATCTTATCACAGAGCACCGCAAATGAGCATTTAATTGGAAGTTTACGCCTTCTTCCTAACCGATGTCGCAAAACTTGCCCAGAGGTGGGGTTTGAACCAGGGATCTTTGGTTCTGAGGCAAGTGCGCTGCCACTGCGCCACAGCTACTCATTTTAATTATTTCAAACTGGTATGAGTGCAAACTGGCATATAAGCAAAGCAGTTGTAAAAAAAACAGGCACAAATGCGAACTGGCATAAATGCGACTTGGTATAGGTGCGCCGAATAAACTTTGAATCATTAGAATTGACATAAGTCCGAACTGTCATAAGTACGAATTGACATAAGTGCACCGAAATAAATTGCAAATATAAACATAATTACAAATCAACATTTCGCACTTATGCCATTACACATTTATGTCAATTCGCACTTATGCTGATTCGCACTTATGCCAGTTTTTACAACTACTTCGCAATTATGTCAGTTTGAACTAATGCCAAATCACATGTCAATGTTTGCAAATTCTTTCGACACATTTATGCTATTTCGCACTTGTGCCACTGCTTTGCACTTATGCAAGTTTGCACTTACGCTAGTTCGCAATTACGCCATTCACACTTATGCCAATTCGCACTTATGAAATTCGCGCTTATTCAGCCGTCCCAAATTTTGGTATAACTATTATATATAATTGTTTTTTCAAATTATAATATATACCTAAATAATACCTAAAAAAAGGAAAATATATACCTATAATAATGCCTTAAAAAAAGAAATTAAAGAAGATTTAGCACTTTTGGCTATAAAACTCCAAAAAAAAAAAACCTTTAATGAAAATCAGTTTGAACTACGGATCCTTTAATGAAAGTCGGTTACTTATAAACTATTCGTTGATCTTATTTAATTCTTCGTTAAAAATTAATAAAAACAATAGTATCTTTGAGAAAATAAAATAAATTAGTATCATCTGCAAATTCTATTCTAATAATGAATTAAAAGATAATAGAGTAAAAGCGGGTCAAACCGATCATACAATTTTTTCAATCACTGATCCAAAAATTTAAATAAAACCGGAACTGATAGAAATATTTAAAAAATAAAAACACCAGAAGAAAGAGAATCATCTCCTCTATTGAAATGTGTCAAAATAAAATCCAAGTCATTTTTCAGTCATTTTATTTTTATAAAAGTTTAAAGAGAGTCGTAAAAATTTGCTTTTTTCTTTTATTCGCTATCGTAATAATTCGGGAACCATAATTCATTTAAAAATAATTTTACCACATAATTTTTTTTCGTTTTATAGTTAAAAATTAGACAAAAAAGTAAGAAAAATTAATATTACATTTTTTCTAGTAAAACCGATCATTCACATATTTACTTTAAATTCCTTTATTAAGTAGTATGTGAATTTTTAAATTAGGTACCTAGGTGAATTAAATTATTGAATTTTCTCATCTGTTAGTTCCAGGTTCTTCCTATAACGGGTGGTTACTAAAAATCCGGACAAACTTAAACTGAATTTTAAATGCCACAAGCTAAATCTTTTTTATTCATGTTTATATCCATTTTATAGCTTATTTAATTCTCTATAAGTTAATTTTTTTTTAGATAATTAATAATAATTAAAAAAATAATGATGACCAAGCAAGAAGAGGTAAGAAAACGGATTTACGAGTTCTATTTGAATAATAAATTGCAAAAGAAAAAGTTCACAGTAGCTCACTTCAATGCTGAAAAAATCCCAAGAAGCACTATCTATGATATAATCAAACGTGTTGAGAATGATTCTGGGCACAAAAGAGTGCAAGGAAGTGGTCGGGTGGCCAAAATCATGACCCCTAAGAGGATCAAGCGCCTGAAAGCCATATTTGATCACAGTGACCGAGTTTCGATGAGGCAAGCTGGTCGAAAATTTGGATGCAGTCATTCACATATCATTAAAACTCTTGCCAAGTACACTGACATCAAAAGTTATACAAAACAGGGTATACCTCATCGATAAGAGAACCAGAATGAGCGAATCAAAACTGGCATTGATCGTCTTTATCGCGTTTTTAAAGGAAAATCGGTCATCCTTGACGATGAGTCTTACTTCACGCTGTCACACTCAACAATTAATGGAAACAGCACCTACAACTCTAGCAACAGAGACAAGACTCCACCAAGTGTTAAATATCGCAAAAAGCGCAAGTTCGAACCCAAGGTGCTTGTCTGGCTGGCCGCTTCTGACAAAGGTGTTTCAAAACCATTTTTTATACCCAGCGGCCTTGCAGTCAATAAAGCCATCTATGAAATGAATTGTATTAGGAAAAGATTAGTGCCGTTCATCAACGCTTATCATGCCGATGGTAATTACATATTTTGGCCGGACCTGGCTTTATCGCATTATGCCAAAACCGTGACCAGCTGCTACGAGACTCATAACATCAGTTTTATCAAAAAAGTTGACAATCCGCCAGCCGTACCGGAGTGTCGCCCAATCGAAGACTTTTGGGCTATTTTGAAAGGCAAAGTGTATGAGAGTAACTGGCAAGCAAAAGACGTGAAACAACTACGAACCAGAATAAAGCTTTGCCTGAAAAAAATTGACCTTAACCTTGTATTTTCACTTTTTGGGTCAACTCGTGTTAGAGTTGGCCGAATCCGAAGAAACAGACTGGTTGAAGACAAACTTAATTAAAATAAATAAATAACTAAAAACTCTTTTTAATGATAGTTTTATTTAATCTCTACCATAAAAACTTTGGGAGTAAATGCACTTGAAAGTTTGTCCGGATTTTTAGTAACCACCCGTTATAAAGTTATTTTACAAAATGACTCAATGATATTTATTAATTATTCACTTTCAAGATGACAACAAGTAAAAAGTCATACAATGAAGAAGATATAGAAGCTGCGTTAAATGATATAAAAGAAAAAAATACTTCAATTAAAAAAGCTGCATTCAAGTATGGCATTCCATTCTCAACTCTAATAGGTCGCAAGAACAACAACAATGCTAGCTTCAATGGATCAGGATCAACAACCGTACTCTCACAGCAAAAAGAGTCAATTATGGTGCATGCGTTTAATTTCCTATGTGATTGGGGTTATGGTTTAGCACGAAATGATGTCATGGACTTTGTATGCGGTTACCTTCTTCGTACAAATCAATCAGGCCAATTTAAAAACGGCAGGCCTGACAAAGTATCTGCTGGAGCCGCTTCTTGTACGCTAGATATAGTTGATAATTATAATGCCTACCTAGCTGTCCCAAGAACGTCACTTATACGGATAGTTAGCGTACACATCAAGGTACCTTGTGATGCAAATTTTGAAATCATTTAATTTTGTCCGCGGAAAATTAATTTAATTTGGATGTTCAAATTAAGTCAAATTTTGACTTTATAGTGCGCCAATAAAAACACTTGTAGAACTTGAACCACTCAATATAATTTGATAACAATTGGTGCAAATGTAACCAATAGTCACACCAAACTCTGGACAAAATTTCAGCCTGATTGGTTGACTGGTGTAGGATTTATTGCAATTTTAGTTGAAGTTTTGTCCGTTTTTTGCTACTTATACCGTTACCGATTACTTTGAAATTCGGTCAATATTTTTAAAATAACAGTTACATGTGTGTTCTACTATGTAAATCAACTATTTTTGTTATAATTATTTTATTGGTACATGTACAGTTTTCATTTTATAGACTAAAATAGTGATTTTCTACTTAAAGCGTGATTTAAATAGTTTATGTTAATTGTGTCGACACGGGATTTTAAAGAGGAGGGGGTCAGCCCCTCAATTTCTAAAATAAAATCCATAATTTTTAAAATAATTGCCTATATTTCTAAAACAAAAGGTCCTTGCAAAAAAAAAGTGGAGAAGGACATGACCCCCTAGTCTCCTCGGCGTTGAACATTTCTTAAGGCATAAACTGCTGCCAAAAAAAAAGTTAAAAAAAGATGCAAAACCTGGTCAAAGGACTACCAGTTAGTAAAACAAAAAAAAAAGTAGATTTTCTAAATTATTTTGACCTCCTTAAATACATTTACTTTCAAAATGAAGTGAAAACTATTTAAATCTTATTTTTTACATTGTATTACCATCAAATATCTAATTACATATTAAGAAATGTTTTTTTGATTTTCTCAAACCGAAAGATTATTGATAAATAGCTCAATGTACTCTTTTAATACAAATACTCTATAATACTACTTTTAAAGATGGTGAAAATATTCATTATACGCCGTAAAATATGAATTTCAGCAGCCTAATTTCTAATAACTCAAATGATATTCTTTAAAGATGCTTACTGTTTAGATTAATTATGCTGCGGAATAATCTTTTTTTTGTACTCTGGATGATTATTATTTCGCTTATACCTCGATCAATGTTGATAAAAATCTTGATGAGAAGTTTTGACAGTTTGTTCACTATAGGATCCTTTGTGACTGATGAAATCCTTGATGTGGTAGAAGACGGCGTGAATTTAGAGTGTTACGCTTGCACCAGTTATCATTAGGTAACACTTTTTGAAATTTTCAATTTTTTCAGCAAAATCCGGTTGAAAGATGTATCCAAAGCAAGCCTTGAAAACAAAATTGAAGCTTTTGAACGCTTCAATTATGCACACAATATTGGGAACCATGTTTGTCTCAGCAAGTTGCTGCAGCATATCCACATTTTCAAGAAGCATCCTGCATTCAAACTGGCCCCCGTGATACGGGCTCAGATGAATGTGGAGGGCGGCTGGCCACTTAACAGCTTCTATTCAAGCAGTTTTAAGGATCTTGAAAAGATGGTTTACAATTCCTAAGAGGAGATGCCATGATTTCCATGATTAA